TGACTCTGTCATTGTTTCATACATAGCAATAATTCGCTTCACGTCTGTTAGGGCTTCTGGATTAGTTAGCATTAACAGATCAAGACAATCGTACAAACTTTAAAAAATGAAATGTGTTTAATGTGCTTTTCGATATAATTTTGGAATTTTCTGTAGTGAATAGCTAATATGTTTTATTATTGGTGTTGGTGTATTTAATTATGGCAAAGCACACGAAGGCTATCTGCCTAAAGGAAGGGATGCCTTTCGTGGAGGACTTTCTAAGGGAAACTGGCTCGTATACACGTTACACATGGGGAAAACCACGAAAACGCCCATGCAGCCAGCCCGTTCGCGGGATTCGAACCTCAGACCGAACTACCAGTGTTCAGCGTCTTTACCGCTCGGCCGCTGGTGGGCTGTTTTATTATTGTATCAGGTATCCAGGAACAATCTGAGCTCTCATTCTGTTGAAAGAAAGAAGAGACTTTTTATCAAGAGCTAATTAATTCGGCAGCGTTTTTAAATGCGTGTTCTTTACAGTAAATGTTTGTCTATATTTAGTGTAAGGAAATACGACAGAATAAAAGAACACTGCTTATTTTGTAAAGCAACCGTGAATTAAAAATTACTTTATAGAGTGAAATTATTAATTTAATAACTCCTATGGATACAAGAACGTACATTCCGACCTATCAAATTTGGGATGTTTAAGAAACTTTTGAAATTTAGTCCTCAAAGTGGTATCACACAGCTGATACGTTGTCTGTAGCTGATAAACTGTTACTTTAACTAATAAATTATTTTACTGTCCGGTACTAAATTGAGATTTTTAGACAATCTTTTTAAGCATCGGAAAATCTGATATTTAAAAAGAATGCCATCAGTAACAATAACCATGAGTTCCCTGACTATGTTTTGAAAAGGGCTATGCTTAAACTCGGTTTTATATTTCTTTAGATGCATAGATGTAAAAATGCGTAGAGAGGCAATATTTTGTTATCAAGTAAAATAAAAAAATATTTAAATAAGAACATTTAGATAAGAATTGCCTTGCTAAAAAATTTTCATAAACTTTTAAACTTTTCAGCTTCCGACATGTCGGAAACTGAAACCGGAAAGTTAAATATTTACTTCCGTTTCTTACCGTGCTGTTATTGCTTCAAAATAACTCTTAACTCATTCATCTATTATAAATCGGTTTTTATTTGTATTAAAATGTATTATTCGTTTTCAGTGTAAATCAGACTAATGAGTATGTAATGAAAAATGAGTGCAATTATGTTTTTTGAAAACTTGTTGATATACATACTGCAGATCATATTTTTGAAATCATTCAGAGGCAAAAATCTTGAAAATCTCTCGGAGAATTTATTTGACAAAACTGAGAAAGAACTCTGTAGACCTTTTCTTTCTTTCTTCTGAATATTAAAAATGCTGCAATTATTTACTAAGGAGTTACAAGTGAATACAAAGCCAGCTAAACAAGTAAAATAAGGAATGAGTCTTTTTTATTATATGAGTGTATATGCAACAAATAAAATATAGTTTCAAATTAGATACTCGCAGTAAAATGTCAAATTTGCAGTTGACCCTGGAAGCTGGCACATTTGAACTGCTCATTTCCTCTTATAAGAAAAAAATATATTTAAATAAGGGAAATCTATGGAGTGGGGCTAGTCACAATTAAAAAGAATTGAAACACGGCTTAAAAATATCGATAAACTGTATTATGTATTATTCCGTCAACCGGCCAAATAGGGCTATTTAGCGCCAATTATGGATGACCGTTTCATTTAGAATTCCTCAGTAACGATTGGCGACTGGCGGCCTTTGTCGAAATTCCCGCCAATGGTAGACATGATTATGGTACATAAGTACTCAGAAAAAAATTATCAAAAAATTGGGTACTATTCGTTTCGAGGGCCGTAAAAAAATTGCAGCAAAAATGTATGCGCAAAAGCGCCAAATTTAGCAAACACGCCCATTTAACAGAGCGCCAAATCTAGCGTACGCGCTGATTTCAGATTGCGTAACTTTATATAGTTCTATATATTTCTTAAGACGCCATTGAAATACTAGTTTAATTTTTAAATCCTTTTTTGATATCCTATGGATTTAACAATTTGGGAATTGCCCATGACGAAAAGTCGGCAATAGAATTTTGGGTAAAGTGCACAATCACACACTGCTTGACGCGTTTTTAAGAATTGCACATACTCGGTATCCATCTGCGAATCGACCTATTTTCACTTAAAAAAATCCTAGAATTGCACAAAAATGGCACTTGATTTTATCTATGTATACATCGACCTATTTTCACTTAAAAAGTAAAAGAAAATTGACAAAAATCCAATTGTTTTTACCCTTGTAAAAAGCGGCAAACAAATAAGTGAGCGATTCTGCACTTTACCGAGAATATTTTCAAAGAAAAGGCATCATTCATTATAGAAAATTACGTTTGAACAACCAACGAGATGAAATTATGCTTTAGCGATAAGTCGGTAGCGAAATAGCGATGCAGGCATCCATTCAGTTATGTTTAGCCTTTTTTATATAAATTATAATAATAAAAAAGTATTATACGAAATTAACCTTTCATCTAAATTAACACATCAATCTTAAATAGTTATTTACTATTCTAATTCCTTTCTTGCCGCAGTTATTAGGGTTGCCGCAATTATTTTTGGCAGCATTGGCATCAACAATAGTTTGGCGATTTTTTACGGCCCTCGAAACCGAATAGTACCAAAAATTGCGTATGTCATGAATGCGTAAAATGCACTTTTTTTAGGTGCTAGTTAATTTTGGCGTACATATAAATGCATGGCAAAACCTTTTCCTTTTTTATGTCTGTGTGTCGCATAACATCGCATAATATAAGTAATTCTCATAACATCTACAATATTTTCTACCTCATAAAGCTATTGATGCGAGTGGTGATATTCAGCAACAGAATTCATTTTAAAGAGGCTATGAATCTTAAATATGCAAGAAGAATCTAAAGAGTGGTGTAATTATTGGCCTAATTAGCTCTTGTAAACTAATTAGCTTATATGTAAGATTTAGATCTTTCTGATTTGATGGCTTAAATATTTTCTGACAGCACTTGCAACATTTCAACTAAAAACTAAGCCAAATCCACAAAATAATAAAAATTTAGTAGCCGCTGTTGAGCAATTCCTTCGTTAATGTTTAGGTAGAGACTAAAACTATTTTTTAAAGTAGATTCACTTATTTTATTAAAGCAGCAGAAGACAAGTTTAAAATTCGATATATATTTTGCATTAAATATTTTTGCCCTATAATTGGATTGCTTCAGCCTTTTGCTGAAAGAATTATGCAAGCTATGCCATTTGCTTTGAAAATATTGGCTTTAGCGTCAAAATAACATATTACGCTACTAGCGTAATATAAACTATAGAAACTAATAAACATGTCCTAAAACATCATTAATGTTCTAAAAAATAGGTTTGGATCTTAAATAAAACATCTCTCTTGTAAAGGAAACATATTTTTAATAAGCTGACTAAACACACATATTTTTAGCTCAGTATAAAAGTTGTTTTGTTGCCACTTCTAAGAAACAAAACCACAATTAATTGTGGTGGAAAAATATGTAGGAAACAAAATTAAAGTAGATATAAAATACAAACTGCACGCATCTGAATTTCAACATTAACGATTTTTTAAGCATAAAAATTGAAAAAGTAAAAAACAATATTTTTGGTGGTATTTTAAAGCATATTCTTAGAATTATAAAATAAAAATTATTAGCTTAAGACAAAAAAAATTCTTTAAACAGTAAGGAGCGAATTTTGTGTTGGGTATGTTGACAAAATGAAAGGTGAAATTACAATTTCATGCATCGTTTGTAAAATACGAATTAAAATATAATTTTAATTATTTTAATAATTTTAATTCCTATTTTACAAGCGTTGAATGAAATTAAGACCGTAAAGACGCTATCGTAATTTTACCCACCATTTATTTAACATACCCACATAAGTTTAAGGAGTTTAAGTTTACATACATACCAACATAATAACAGTATTAACAGTAGCTGTAGAGTATAAACTTCTTTACATAAATTTATTAACGAGAGAACACGAGTGAAACTAATGAAAACGAATACTGTTTTGAAAACAAATTCTACAGTTTATTTTTTATTCCGAGCTCCTTTACTGTTGCCACTTGAGCAAAAAGAAAATCACATCGCGAAGAGTTAATATTTTCAGTATTGCAAACGATGTTTCCACAAAAAGTATATTTTAATTCGTATTTTACAAACGATGCATGAAATTGTAATTTCACCCTTCATTTTGTCAACATACCCAACACAAAATTCGCTCCTTACTGTTTAAAGAATTTTTTTTGTCTTAAGCTAATAATTTTTATTTTATAATTCTAAGAATATGCTTTAAAATACCACCAAAAATATTGTTTTTATTCTGCTATTTGTGTTGCATAATATATATAAAGAGACTTTAAAACTGTTATTTTTCAAATAAAATTTGTTAAATATTTTGCATCAAAAGTACTGATTGCTGCAAGCGTTCCTTCTGCTCAGGTTTTTTTCTTTTGCTGAATTTTTACGTTCACATCAGCTGTGTAATGCAATTTAGAATCCTTAACTAAAAATTAAAATTGCCAAAATGACTGACACCATAATTTTCATTCTTAATAAATAAATTAATATTTCAAGGAAAGGTATTTCATGTAGCAAAACATCTAAACAAAAACTTATATTTGAGGATCAGGTGGAAAACTGCTTCATTTATCTATCTGGCAGAAATATCAAAGAAAAAATAAATCTGGTAATCTATATTACATTCGATAATACAAAGATTAAACTATTTGATTCAGTTTTTTTTGTAGAAATCCTTATGTTTTATATTTAATGATCTGTGCTTGCGCAATCAACATTTAATATAATCTACTACTCACGTAGCATGATACGGCATAATGATATGTTTTGCAAAGCTGTGTTCCAGTGATTCAAAATTTATAATGGACGGGCTTAAAATGGCTCTCTAAAAGGACATAAAATATTTAATGTATGCAATAGTAATTAAATCGCAAAGCAGCATTTTTTATTTTTTGAAATAATTGATTAAAACGTTCACATTTAAAAGGAAAGGTAATCATGAGCTCATCAGATGAAGATCAGAATATAAGCTACGATGGTGATAGCTCCGACAGCGATGTTCAAATGATAGAAGAATATTTCGATGGAAAACCCTTAAAACCGTGGGAAGATCTTCCTCCGCTTACTCTAGAGAAAATTTATTCCTATCTGAGTAGAAATGATCAATGTCGAATGTCCCTAGTTTGCAGCAAATGGGCAAAAGAATTCAGTTCCCCCAGCGTGTGGAGAAACGTCAGATTTTTCCTTCCTGAGTATGAATATAATGCAGAAATCTATCCAGAAGTAAAATTTGCTAGGAGGTATGGACATATGTTTCGCCACATCGAGATAATCTGCAAAAGAGTTAGAACCCATCTCCTAGGTATCATATGGAAGCAATTGAAATTCTTCTTACAATGCTTAACGTTCACTGTGCACTTAAATTCAGTCTCATTTACAAACATGGGTAATTATTTCCGCCATCTAGACGATTATATACACGATGATATATTCAGAGATATTGTAAATTTTCTGTCTGCGCAACGCAACTTGAAGACAGTGAAGTTTTTTAACAGCCATTTTGATAACTTTGAAGCAGCAGAAATTCTGAAAGCTCTGTGTGAAAATAACTGTGGAAAATTGAATTGTATTCTCCTAAAAGGATTTGTGCGGGATTCTCCGGTAAATCAGATAGAAAACCACGAAATTGACTTGTCTTTCATGTATGACACTCTTTTGAATTTGTATCAATTCGAAACAGATTACAGCCAGATATTTGAGCGAATAATTCATGCATTTTCAGATCGTTTAGATTCATTAGGCTGGTCAAGAATTAATAATACGAAAGGAGTTTTGACCAGTATCAAGATGAATTGCGAAGGTTCTAGACGTGCTCAGTTCAAAGGAATTTCATCTTCTATTTGGAAACAGATGCGAAAAATATTCCCACAACTTAAAATAGACATGCACTTAAATGCTGGAGGTCATCCACAAAATGCCGCTGAGTTCTTTATACGGCGAGATATTCCTCTAAGAAGTCTAGATTTCAGACATGAAAAATATCATGCTCCAAACGATGTAGACATTTCCTTTCTTTTCCACCACATTACAGCAAGCGGTAGTAATAAAACTCTTGAGGAACTGAGCATTGTTTGGATCTTTCCGTCAATGAATCTAGCAAGTGAAATTATACCCTTTCTTTTAGAATGTCCTAAGTTAAAAATTCTTCAGCTTTATATTAGTCGTCCGGTGGTAAATCTTCCGAACATTTTCAACTCGTGGGAACAAAATCGCCCAAAATCTTTGGAAACTGTTTACTTGACTATAGCTAATATCCAAGATCCAGAAGAAGCATCCGCGTTATCAGGAATTGCAGATGATTACGCTCCGCTTCTTCAAGTAATAGGTTTAAATCTGTTTTTGATCGCTGAAGTTGAAATAAGACCACTGAGGCGTTGAAGCATTATACTTTAATAATATTTACATATAAAGCCGCAGTTTCTTGATTTTTAGTTACTGTAAGAATTTAATTGAAAATAGGTTTCTGTACATAATTAAATACAACTTATTTATTGTAGAATATACATTTTAAAATCATTGAGTTCTTTTTTAATAGTAAAAATAGTGGCACAAAAGCGCTTAACGTTAAATCTTAATCATTACGGAAGACTGTACTTCTAGAGGTATTAAATTTCATGCAGTACTTTTAACTAGAAGGACTGTATTTAATCAAGATTGAAAGAATATGGAAATAAACATGAAAATTGGAAAAAAGAATTGACATTTATGAAGTTTAGATACATAACAATATTTTCTACGTGAAACCGAGTGACCGAGTGGTTAAAATTACTGAATGATGTGAGTTCGATTCGGACTCTATCCTAGACGATGAGCTGGCTACATGGTTAATTTTTGCTGTTTTCCCCATATGTAATGTGGTGCTACTTTGGTAGACGGTTGCACGGATTTTTGGCGATTTACGTTGGCGCAATTGTTGGCGCGATTTTTACAATAATCAGCCATCTTGAAAAACGGTGTTTCTACGCATAGTAAAGTATTCGAAACTTAAAAAAAAAAAAAAAAAAAAAAAAAAAAAATAATAATAATAATAATAATAATAATAAATATCGTTAAAAGTAATGGATTAATTTTTTGTTGAAAATGTTGTTTTTTAAGATGGCAGGCAAGTGTAAATAAATACATTTACTATGAGTATAAAATACTAAAGTAAGGCTATTATTACTTTCATATAGCGAAAAAAAAAAGAAAAAAACACCGCTATAAAAATATTGTGCCAACGTTTAATTACATTAAAATATTACTGAAATTGAATATCGAATTAAAAACCATCCTACCAACATTTAAAAGAATTAGAATATTATTAAATTCAAATACTTTAAAATACATTATATAAATTATAATTAACATTTTAAAACATATGTGACAATAATTATCTCAGCAATTTTTGAAAATAGTGTATTTATTTTTTTAACAAAAATTAAAGTATACAATTATAAAATAAAAGAAAAATATGTACTTACATTTTTTGAGTAATTTAATCTCTTGTTTATTGATAAGTACCACAAAAAAAATCGAAATAATAATTGAATTGGCTGGATCTTCATCTGTTATCCACATATCTCGCACTTCATTGAAGAAACAATTAGCGCGGTTTCCTCAAAAAATTTAAAATAAATTTCCTCTGACGCTATTAACAATTTCTAAATAAATCTTTGATTAGGAAAGACAGGTTGGCCAAAATAAGGTCTCAAAGGGCAATTTTTTTATTCCAATACCAATAATTCTTGGTAATTACCAATAACAACATTCATCTTCGAAACGAAGATATTCATTCCATTTGAAATCTGACGAATTCGAAGAGATGAATAATAAAATTTTAAAATGGCGCGGTAATGCACAAATATTCAGTAACCAATCAGGGAGCAGATTACATCACGCATAGAATTAAAATTATTTAAATAATCATTCGTAATAAAATCATTTTTAAAACAAATGCAAAATTAAATTGTATTTTAATATTTAACAGCCATAAATAATGTTTGAAACATTAGATTAAATTTATAGATATTAATAAAACCAATTACTTTTTAAGTAAGGTGACGTCATTGATTACATCATAAACAACATAAAATTCTATAAAATATTATAAACAACAAAATTTTTATTTCAAATAAAAATGTAAAATTAAATTGATTTTTAATATTTAGAAGCCATAAATAGTATTTAAAACACGGAAGTTATGCATAATAAAACGCATTATTTTTTTTAATAAAATGACAACAAAGTATCGGTTACCATAAATAACTTATCCAGCAATGGGTTTACCATAAGTTGTATTACTCGCCAAAAGAAAACTCGCCAAACAATCGCCAAAATCCGTGCAACCGTCTACCAAAGTAGCACCGCAATGTGAACACGAGCAGGAGTTTTTCTTAAAAATTCTCTGTGAAGGCATCCTCCCATAGGGAGATAGCCTTCCCTTTCGTTGCCTTACTTAAATAACTTAACCTAATCTTCCTCCATGAAGAACTTGTCCTTTATAAAGTTCATGAAATCTTCCTCCGCGAATCGCTCATGATTAAAACATTTGTTGGTACTTTTCCATTTTCGCGGGGCAGGCGAAAAAGTCGAAAGTTATGGTACCACTGATGCCAAACGGAATATTCTCGCTGGTAACCTTTTAGGTCTCATTTTCAAGTCGCAGCTATTTCTTATCAGATTGATTGTTTCTTTCAATACTGGCATATACAGTTCCATAGAATTTTTACCAGACAATTTAATTTTATGCCCTAAGGCCATTCGCGGTGATTAAGTCAATTAGGATGCAATCACACTTCCCACCCGAAGGCAAAGCAAAGGGTTAAATTCATCTGTTCTAGAAGTTTGTTCATTCATAAGAATGCACTAGCGAAGTAAAGCACTGCGGTTTTACATATCTTATAACTGTGTAAGCTATTCGCACGAACTGAAATAATTTTGGCATTTAAAATTGAATTCCAAATTAGGATTTAATTTGAAATTAATGTAGATAATTACTGAGAGAATTAGATTTTTGTAGCGTAGTTTATGTGAGAGCATTCGGGGTCACGCGATATGAACCGGTGAATCAGGATGTTGAACCATGAAAGCATAGTAATTTCTTAAATTAATGTCTTTTTACAAATTTACTATCTTTATTTATTGGCTTTTTGAAAAGTTTTAAACGCTATTAAAATGTTTATGCCTTCAGAATAAAAAATTCTTAAAACTAACATTTGTTAACATTTTTTATGCGTATACTGTATGTTGTCACCAATAAAATCTGCTTAGGGAGATTTGCGCCGGCCGAAATCGAAAAGCACCCATTTGTTATAAAGTGTCAGTAGCTATTATTATACTTCTACCAAAGAAGCTTGCCATCTGAACATTCAACCAATTCCATTCATAGATTTAGGAAAGTCATCAGCTGCCATAATTATTAATACATATAGTACATATCAATCATTGAACATTTTATTTTGCGGTTTTCTCACCATGACCAACAGCTCTGCTTCCTGATATTATTTAAGAATATCTCTGTCATTCAGCTAAATTTTTCGTAGCTATTATAGATTGTATAATGTCCCGACAACAGAAAAGTACCATACGATCTACGATATATTTCAGTTGCATTTAAGCCACGAAGAAATCTAACACCACTGGACCTTGCACTTGACAGCATCATTGATTATATTCTTGAATTTCACCTTTATTCGCAAGACTAGAGCAGGAAGTCCGTAGGTAAGCTAAAGGATAATAAATTTCATTAAATGTCCAATGGTAGGAAAAACATTGATGAATGACTGCTACCTGTAATTTTCAGACTCTGATATTTTAAGTTACATTGGGGTATACGCAGTTAATTTTAATTATATTTTTTGGAAATCGAGGAGAACCACCCACAAGGACAGGCTTCGAGGACCACTTTGTGGTCTGCCGACCACATATTGAGAAACGCTGTATTATACATTTTTATACTTATACTGCTCCAAATGGAATAGGCAAAATGAAGGAAAAATGACCTAACATAGTATATGTACTTTTTAGGATATATAAACGAAACATTTTCTCCTTGGAAATGCGAAGAATAGTTTAGGTAGTGAATGTACGCACTGTGGAAATCAGTGCTATTGCGATATGGAAAATAATTCAAAGCTATTGTACGTTATTGCGGAATTTGCATTTAAACTGGAATTGGTAATTAAAATGCAAAACTAGAAAAGCAAATTTAAACAACTATAACAAGAAAATAACTGCTGATTCCACAGAAAGATCCCGACTTTTAAGGTAAAATGGAATCTTTCTGTACAATCACCACTAATTCATGAGGATCACGTTTCGCCTTTTCGCGTTTTGCAAACTATTAATTTAAAACTTAAATAATTTCAGAAATGTGAAAAATTACGCGACGCGAGGTTAGATAAATAATTACAATTAATATGTATATATATTGTAGAGTAATTTATGATAACTACTTTGGTTCTAAATACCTTCACTTCACGGAACTATTTGGCCTAACTTAATTTGCCAGTTTGGCATCGCCATTATTACTTGAGTAAAAGACGAAACACCTTCGCATTTATTAATTATTGTTCATTGAACGGGAGTTGGTTTGTTCCCCTGGAAAAGTCAACTAACTTCCGATCAATAGCAATAATTACTTGCTTTTAATTTCTTTTTCCAACTTTGAAATTTTGCTATTCATGATTTAATTCAAGTCCTCGTAAAACATTTTTAACAATTTACATTCAAGTTACTTTAAAACAATTTCGGAATTAAACTTTCTACCTCTGGGTTCACTCTTTTTAGATACTTCTGCTAAAATTAATCTTAGGAGATAATATAATCAATATTTCTTTAGGAAATAAATTATTATTATCTTACTTTGCAGCTATTGCGCAAGTATTAGAATAACTTGTTTTCTAACTAAGTGAATTTTAAGATCATACAACATTTGATATATATATATAAATTTTACCATAAATACCTCTACAATCCAACTGAATTTCATTTCTTACATGTCTTTGTGAGTTTGTTCCAAATTTCTTACTTTTTATGTATATATATGTATATAAACGTAATATATGTCTTGAATTTTGTATATATTAAAACTTTGGCTTCATTATTAGTTTTATTTTCAAACCCTTCAAAACTTAATTTAATAACACCTCGATGTTTTAGCACTTTAAAAATGATGTTTAATTAAATAATATTTTTGATTAAATATCGATTAGCTATTCAATATTAATTTAACCGTCTGTAAAATTTACCTTTTTCTCCGCAATTTAATATTTTTAATGCTTAAAATCCACATAAGAATTAAATTAATTTAAGATAAATGTTTCTGATAAGATAAATGTTTCTGAGAATTTCGTTTTTATATGAAACTGTTGTTTGGGCAGCTCAACCAGTATAGTGGTTAGTGTTGCTGACTGCCGTGCCGAAGGGTTCGGGCTCGAATGCCAGAGAAGGCATGAATGTTTGTAAATGTATAGTGTCGGTGCGGTATGGCAGCAATCCAATTATGTGGCGAGCCGAAAGTCCTCTCGTGTGGTTTTAGTGGAAGGGAAGAAAGGTGGGAGACCCTCGGACCCGTCCCCTGGGGAGCCCTCAATCAAAATTGGGGGCGGAACTGAGCTAAATCGCACTGGAATGTTGTTCAAGGCTGCTGCCAACGGCAGGTGTAAACTAGCGTTCCTTGCCACGAGGAATTTAGTGGTCTCGAGCTGACTACGTCAGAGAAGTAATAGCTTTGAATTAATTTATAAGCAACAACAACAACACCTGTTGTTTGGATTTTGGTATGGATGAGAGTAATACGTAGTAAAAAGCATAGCTGGCTGGTTGCCTACCAGCGGAGTGTACTTGATGTAAGTGAAACATAAATTTTAATGTG